GAGCGCCGTGACCTCGCCCTCCACGTGCAGCAGCTGGGCCTTGCGCCACGGGTTCAGGGTGGCGCCTCGGTTATCTTCCAGGTCCCGCAGCAAGAGTTGGAGATGGCGCCGGACCCGGGCCCGATCCCAGTTGTGGAGGTTCCGCTGGACTTCACTGAGGATCACCGACCAGTACCGCGACACTGCCGTGCCCTCTGTCAGCGACACCACCACCCGGGCCCGGCCCTCCGCCGCGTCCCCCAAGTCCCGCAGCAACTGGCGGCCCTCGGAGCTGAGCTCGTTGAAGTAGAGGCTAGCGGGAGAGAGCAGAGGCGGTGCCATCAGCAGGGCTCTGAGAGGGAGGGGCAGAGGGTGGGGCGGACAGAGAGCAAGGGGGGCTCACAGCGCAGCCAGCGGCTGTGTAACGCGATGGGTGTGTCTTCAATGAGCCCGAGACGGAGGGTGGTGGCCCACGGGAGGCAGGGATGCCTGTAGAATTTAGTGGGACCAGGGACTAGGAAGGGGGCCACCAGGAGCCCAGGACACATGGGGGAAGGACAGCAGGGAAGGGTTGGCTCCAGGTGGGCTGGCATCACTCCGGAGCCAGGCAGAGAGGCCAGGCCCCTCACTGGAGGAGAAGCAGCTCGGGCTGGGGGCTGGGCGGGGACAAGACTCACTGGAGCAGCTGCAGGGAGGGGTGCTCCCAGGCCGCCTTGGCCACAGCCAGGGCCGCGGTGTCACAGGCGCCATTGTAGGCCACGTTCAGCTCCTGTAGCCGCTGGTTGTGCTGCAGCTGGGCAGCCAGCAGCTCCAGGCCCTCGTCCCCGAGGCCCGTGTGCAGCAGGGAGAGGTGTGTCAGGGAGGTGTTTCCCGCCAGGCCCTCCACCAGCGAGGCCACCCCTGCAGCCGTCAGCGGGTTGTTGGACAGCCTGCAGCCACAAGCACCCCAAGGTTACAAGGGCCTGTGGGAGAGACCCCGTGCTTGGGCCCAAAGGGTGCAACCTGGGGTGGAGACCAGCCTGGACACAGAACTGCAGGCCCAGGAGGGAGGGTGGAGACTAGCAGGGGTGGTACCTGCAGAGGAGGGAGAGGGCAGGAGCTGGCTTCTCTCCTCACCCCCTTTCCACTCCCCTTGCTGACTCCCTCTCCCTTCTCCCCTCACCTCCTCCCTGGAGCCCGGAGCCCGCTGCCCCATCCTTCTCGCCCTCCCTCCTTTCTCTTTCCTCATTCGCCTCCCCTCACTTCAACCAGAAATCGGGAGCCCAGAAGTCTGGTTCCTAGTAAGTCAGTCAACTCTGGGAGCATCGACGGAGTGCCCAGCGTGAGGTCCTCCTTGTGAGGCAGCACACCTCCCGGGGTCAGTGGCTCTGTCACCAAGCCACCGGCCTGGGCCCCATTCCAAGCCCTTTCCCAGCCTGACTTTAGTCCCACGAGCGGCTCTCTCAGCACCTGTTGCTGGTGGCATCTCACCCCATCTGCCCTCCTGCTTGTCCTGGACCTGGAGTGGGCCTGTGCCAGGCGTGTTGAGGTGGAGCACACCCCTGACCTCAGCTGGCCGTCCCGCAGCCCCCCCAGGCGCTCACCGCAGGGTGGTGACTTGGCACTGGTCGTGCAGCAGCAGCTCTCGGAGGTCCCTGCAGGCCTCCGGGCCCAGGCTGTTGAGCTGCAAGCTGGAGCAGAGGGTGGCCCGATGGGAGGGAGAAACCAGAGAAGTTGAGCCGAGGCTGGCCATCCACTGGCCTGTCTCCCCATCCTGCCTCTGCAGTCCACACCTGTCCTCCCTCCTACTGCTCATCCTCTCCACCCACACACACCCCCATCCGGCCCGTGGCCCTTCCTCAGTGCCCCCGGTCTCCCTGGCACCTCCTCCTCCCACCTCTGCCCCGCCAGCCTCTCCTCTTCATGCCCGAGCACAAGGTCCTCACCCCAGCTTCCGGGCGCGCAAGAGGACAGGCATGAGCGTGCGCAGCCCAGCGGGGTCCAGCTGGCAAGAGGCCAAGTTCACCTCGTCCAGGGCATGCCTGCCGCTGCCCAGGACAGCTGCCACCACCGTGCACTTGAGGGGTGTCATGCGCACGCCCGCCAGGTCGAGCCGGCGCAGGGAGCTGAGCACCTCGGCAGAGAAGCGCTGGTTCTGGAACTCGTAGTGGAAGAAGAGGTGGTCCAGGAGCTCCGAGGGGGGCAGCGCCCGCCGGCCCAGCTTGCCCAGCTTCTTCTTTATGGCCTGGGCGTTCTCCAGGGCGTCCAGGTTCTTGATGGGGCAGCCAAGCTGGGCCAGCATGGCCCGGTTCTGGGCAGAGAGCAGCCCCCCCATGAACATGGGGAAGAGCTCGAAGACCTCGTCCTCGGGGGCCTCGTCGGGGTGGCGCCGGGGGCCCTCCATGCCCAGGATGCTGGCGCCCATCTGGTCCAGGACATCATCGTTGTTGTAATCCTCCTCTCGGAACATCTCCAGCACCATGGCCTGGGCCACCGCCTCGCGGTTCTTCCCCACCACTCTCCCGAACACGCGTGGGACCACCTGGGAGAGGAAGAGGGCAGGGGCTGCGGCCTCTGCGTGCCGGCTCCCCGCCTGCCCCAGCCGGGCGTCCCTCCTGCACTCGCAGCATGGTCTGTCTGGTCACATGACTCCCTGGCTGCGACACCTCCCGGGGCTCCCACTGCCTGCACAGAATAGGAAACTGTTCATAACTGGGCCCCATGCGATCTGCCCGCAGTCCTCCCTCAGCCCGCGTTCTCATGCCCTCCAGACACACATCCTTCTTCCCAGCCCCATGCATGTCCAGCCCGGGAGGTGGTGGGAAGGAAGCAGCAGATGGCGTGCAGTCAGTGTGGAGCCGCTGGTATTATAACGACATCCCCAGCTTCAACATCATCCTCAGAGCAATGCCGACTGAGGTCACGTCCCTCCCACGTCAGCCGGCATCACGGGTCCCTGCCGACTTCATCACAGGCCTCGCACCCTCACCCACTCTGCTTCCCTCTCTCCAATGCTGAGGTTTCTCCTCCTTCAAAGCTCTCTACTCTTCAGGGGTGCTCCGCCGATTCTCTCTGGGGACCCTCAGGGACCAGAGCGACTGCCCCCCTGCACAGAGGCTTCCTTACCCCAGGCCAGGCCCCGGACACTCGGCCCTGACCGGGCGTGCTCATTCCATGGTGATGCTGACGGGTCTGTGTTCAGACCGCACGATGAGAAAACGCAGAAACCTGGGGTTCTATTAACTGGTTTTTCTTAGAATCTAGCACAGTGCCTGGCACACGGCAGGAACGCAAATATTCACTGAAGAGAGGAATGTTGGGGATGTCTGCAACCCCACCGCTCGTCCCTGCAATTGTTCCGAAAGGACAGGAGGTCCTTGCTCGGGGAGCCACCAGGGGTGCTATGGCACCTCCTCTAAAGTATGGTTTTATTTTTTTTACTTTTTCCAGGCGAGGCTCCGGCCATGGAGGGTAGTGCTCTTGTACTGACCCTAATCTGGTGTTGGGATAAGGAAATGTTCCCCTTGGGTCATGAAGAAGCAGATGGAACTGCCCTCTGCTAAGCAGGCCTCCCTCTGAGCGTGGGGCTAAGAACCCTGACTCTACAGTGGAGGGGTGCTGGGCCCTCCAGGGCACCAGTCTCCCACTGCAGTCGGTGAGGCAAGCACATCCTCGAAGGGTGGGCAGCCCCAGCCATTACCGCCCGTCTGATGAGATGGTGTGAAAAGGGGTGGGCGGCTGAGCCTGTTTTTATGCTTAAAAATTAAATAGCATCCTCACTATGCGGATGAATGTGTTTCACCCTCCTATTAGGCAATGAGACAGATTCTATTATCCCCATTTCAGAGATAAGGATGAAGTGAGTCAGAGGAATGGTGGCATGAGCGATCCCCTTGGTCTCTCCCCCTGAAACTTCAACAAGTTATCCAACTATAATTCAACAAAAGCCCCTGCTCAACGCAGACGCAGCCTGAGAGACCCTCGCCATGAACTTCTAAAGGTGGGCAACCAGGCCCGGCCAGCGCAGCTCAGTGGTTGAGCGTGGACCTATGAACCAGGAGGTCACAGTTGGATTCCTGGTCAGGGCACACGCCCGGGTAGTGGGCTCGATCCCCAGTGTGGGGCATACAGGAGGCAGCCAATCAATGGTTTTCTCTCATCATTGATGTTTCTATCTATCTCTCCCTCTCCCTTCCTCTCTGAAAGCAACAAAAATATATTTAAAAAAATAATAATAAAGGTGGGCAACCAGGAATGAACAGGGAGATGAGAAGGGAGGAAAATGCAGATGGGGCCACAGACATAGCCCTGCAGCTGGGAGCTTGCTGCTCAGCCTGGAGAAGAGAGGAAGTGGGCAGTAGCAGGCATTTCCTTCTGCTGGGAGGAGGGGGCAGCCGGGCAGGGCCAGTGGAGCGAGTGACTGAGCCAGCAGACGCCTCACAGAGCACAGGTTTCTGCCCTGTGACTCCCCACAGTAGGGCCAGGTGGTGGTGTTTCAGACAAAGAAACGGAACCACAGAGCCCCGCTGCCACTTGGACTCCCAATACTGGTCTCCCGGTGCCCTTGGAGTTGGGTCCAGGAGCATATTATCTGTAAACCAAGATACAGTCGAACCGCTGTTTCCCTCTGTGACTGATCCCCAGGAGGGGTGCTTAGAATGGGACCCTACGGAGGTCAGGGGTCACCATTACGGTGAGGGCAAAACAAACCCCACCTCCAAGCAGCACCGCTGTACTGTCTTTGGAAGCCATGGAATTCAAGACTGGATCACAGAGGTAAAAAATATTGCAATCCAGCGCCATCTACTGGAAAATAATAGAAAGACCTCTGCAGAGAAAGGGGCTATTGGGTATTAATAAGACAGATATAAAGGTACCAGTAGAGAGGCAAAGGAGAACAGCAAATACCATTAATCACCACGGTAATGAGGATGATCAGAAAGGAAAGGAAAAATCCCCAGAAAGCAAGCTGGAACACATGGAAATATGTGACATAAATGACAGAGATTTCAAGATTGCTGTTCTGAAAATACTCAATAAGATGCGAGAATATACAGACAGGCAATTCAGTGCACTCAGAAAACAAATCAATGAACAAAACAAGTACTTTACCAAAGAGATTGAAACTTTAAAAAAGGATCAATCAGCCCGGCCAATGTGGTTCAGTGGTTGAGCGTCAAACCATGCGTCAGGAGGTCATGGTTCTATACTGGGTCAGGATACATGCCCAGGTTGCGGGCTCAATCCCCAGTAGGGGGTGTACAAGAAGCAGTCAATCAATGATTCTCTCTCATCATTGATGTTTCTATCTCTCCCTCTCATTTCTCTCTCTCTAAAATCAATAAAAAATATATTTAAGAAAAAAATAATCAGAAATCCTGGAAATGAAGCATGCAATTAAGGAGATTAAGCATAAACTACTTGCCCTAGCAGGTTTGGCTCAGAGGATAGAACGTCAGCTTGCAGACTGAAGGGTCCGGGTTTGATTCCAGCCAAGGGCACATGCCCAGATTACGGGCTTGATCCACAGTGGGGGTCGTGCAGGAGGCAGCCAATCAGTCATGCTCTCTATCCTTCTCCCTTCCTCTCTGAAGTCAATAAAAATATATACATATTTTAAAAGTAAACTACTAAACACAGAAAACAGAGCCAACCAGATGGAGGAAAGAATTAGTGATATCAAAGATAGGAATCTAGAAATGATGCAGAAGAAAGAAGACAGGCCTGACCATAAAGAAAAATGGCTCAATGGGTAGAGCGTCGGCCTGCAGACTGAAAGGTCCCGGGTTCGATTCTGGTCAAGGGTACATTACTGGGTTGCGGGCTCGATCCCCAGTGTGGGGCGTGCAGGAGGCAGCCAATCAATGACTCACTCATTGATGTTTCCATCTCTCGCTCCCTCTCCTTTCCTTTCCGAAATCAATAAAAAAAATATTAAAAAGAAAAATGAAAGAGCTCTATGAGAACTCGCTGACTCCATCAGAAAAAGCAATATTAGAATAATAGCATTCTGGAAGAGGAAGAAGGGAATGGAGAGTCTATTCAAACAAACAGTGGGTGAGAACTTCCCAAACCTATGGCAAGAACTGAATCCTTGAATCCAAGAAGCAAACAGAACCCTAGTTACTTCAATCCAAAGAGGCCCTCTCAAGGCACTTTATATTAAAACTGTCAAAAATCAGTGACAATGAAAAACTTCTTAAAACAGCCAGGAAAAAGAAGGAAGTGACCTACAAAGGAAAACCCATCAGAATTTCATCTGACTTTTCAGCAGAAACTCTACAAGCCAAAAGAGAGTAGAACTAAATATTAAAATGTCTGAAAGAGAGAAATTACCAGCCATGAATAATATATCCAGCAAAATAATCCTTTAAATATGAAGGAGAGAAATAAACACGACCCCAGACATAGAGAAGCTGAGGGATTTTATCACCAGAAAAACCTACATTGCAGGAAATACTCAAGGGAGTTACTCTACCTGAAACAAAGAACATATATTTAAATATATATTTTTAAAAACTTCTGGGAGCCCTGACTGGTTTGACTCAGTGGATAGAGCATCGGCCTGAAGACTGAAGGATCCCAGGTTCAGTTCTGGTCAGGGGCATGTGCCTTGGTTGCGGGCGCGTCCCCAGCAGGGGGCGTGCAGGAGGCAGCTGATCAATGTTTCTCTCTCATTGATGTTTCTGGCTCTCTATCACTCTCCCTTCCTCTCTGTGAAAAGTCAATAAAATATATTTAAAAAAAAAAAAAACTTCTGGGATGCAGCAAAAGCAGTAATAAGAGGGAAGTTCAAATCATTACAGGTCTATTCAAGAAATAAGAGAAATCCCAAGTACACAACCTAACTTCACATCTTAAAGAACTATAAAAAGAAGAACAAAAGCAACCCAAAGTCAGCAGAAAAAAGGAAATAATAAAAATTAGAGCAGAATGGAATGAAATAGAGAACAGAAAGACTATACAAAAAATTAATAAAATGAAGAGCTGTGTTTTTTTTTAAGATTAATAAAATTGACAAACCCCTGGCTAGATTCACTAAGGCAGTGGTTCTCAACCTCTGGCCCTTTAAATACAGTTCCTCATGTTGTGACCCAACCATAAAATTATTTTCGTTGCTACTTCATAACTGTAATGTTGCTACTGTTATGAATCGTAATGTAAATATCTGATATGCAGGATGGTCTTAGGCGACCCCTGTGAAAGGGTCGTTCAACCGCCAAAGGGGTCGCGACCCACAGGTTGAGAACCACTGCACTAAGGAAAAAAGCGACAAGATCCATATAAACAAAATCAGAAATGAGAGAAGTCACCACAGACATCACAGATATACAAAGGATCATGCTAGACTATTATGAAAGATTATATGCCACCAAATTCAATAACCTTCCAGAAATAAGGGCTAGGAGCAGAGGTGTGGAAGAAAACCGTCTTAGAATTGTAGGGTTGTTATTAAAGTCCCTGCACCCTCAGCACAATTTACAATAGCTAAAACCTAGAAACAGCCCAAGGGCCCCATCAGCAGACGAGTGGATAAAAACGCTGGGGTACATTTACCTCATGGAATACTGTGCAGCAGTAAAAGAGAAGGATCTCTTACCCTTTGAGACAGCATGGAGGGGCCTGGAGAGTCTCATGCTGAGTGAAATAAGTCAGTCAGAGAAAGACAAGTGTCACATGATCTCACTCATATGAGGAATCTAAGTAACAAAATAAACTGATGAACGAAGTGGATCCAGAGACATGGAAGCAGGGAACAGAGTGCGGAATCTCGGAGGGAAGGCGGGGGAGGCTGGGTGGGTGGGAGGTGATCAACCCCATGGACACAGACAATGGGGTGGTGAAGGTCTGGAGGGGGGGGCAGGGGTGAACTGGAGGGGAGCAATGGGAGGGGAAGGGGGACATATGTAATACTTTTAACCATAAAGATTTTAAAAATAAATAAATAAATAAAGTCCCTGCATCCTCAAATTCCCCTCCCAGCCTGTGGCTTCTCTCCGCCCTTCTTAACGCCCCAGCCCACTAAAGCCACACTGGCCTGGCTGGTACAGCTCAGTGGCGGGCGTTGGTTCCCTGTCAGGGCACATGCTCAGAATGCGGGCTAGATCCCCAGGGTGGGGCGAGCAGGAGGCAGCCTATCAATGCTTCTCTCTCCCTTTCCCTTCCTCTCTCAAAGCAATAAAATGAAATATAAAGTAAAATAAAGCCACATTGCCCAAATCTGAAACCAGAGCCGAAGGAAGGGCTCCGAGCTCTGCAGGAAGCAGCCCTTTCCTTCTGGGAGGGAAGCAGGAGGCCGCTGGGGCCGCGCTGGTGTTACCTTCAGCAGGTTAAAGAGCACGGGCAGGATCCGCAGCGGCAGCAGCTTGGCCACGATGCCCAGGACCAGGCTGACGTCCTCCCCGACGCGGCCCGCCAGCTCGGCCACGTCCTTGCCCACCCGCTGCAGCGTGGTCTTGCGCAAGCCCAGCACAATGTAGAGGGCGGCCAGGTACTCCTGCATGGCCGGCACAGTGAACACGAAGGTGCCCGGGTGCCCCGGCTCCACGCACGGGGCCAGGAAGAAGCGCAGGGCGTCCCCGCGGAAGATGTGCAGCAGCTGGAACTCCTCCTCCGTGCGGACGCCCGCCTCCAGGCAGCCGCGCACGTC